TTTGCACCAAAATAGCATTATATATAATAATTGTGATTTACTGGATAGTAATCAACTAGAGTAGTTATTGTATGAAGTCTGGTTATCTAGAGAGAAAAAAGAGTTCTTAAGTGAAAATCTTGACAAAACAGCCATTTGCAAGTTAGCAAAAAACATCAAACTCATTCCATTAACCTAAAAAATTAACTTTTCCTCTCCTAATTACATAGGTACTGCACAGCATTTTCTCATTGACACCAAATATACACTGAATTCTTTCTGTCTTAAATCAAAATGAACATAATACTATTTATAAAGCAACAGTTTCCAGCAATAAGGACAGTCTCAGTATCAAACCAGAAGAATCCTTACTGCTGCCAGAATACAGACCTTTTTAATGTAGACAAAGTTATAAGTTACTGTCAGTTAAAAATTCAGAATACAAAATAATTATCTCTTAAGATCAGAAATGTCTGCAGGGAGAGTAAGTCTTCTCCATGACACTTTGCAGAGATGAAAAACAGTGTCAGAGCTAGTTTAAGTAAGTTCTTGTACTGGCAACAAAACTACAAAAAAGACTGATTATCACTCTTGCATATTCCTTTCTTACAATCCCTGCACTATCATAATGCTACCACCTATACCTTGATTTACTCCAGTTCTCACCCCCACCCCCTCAACAATTTCCCCCACTGGCTCCATCAACTTATAATTGTGATTTGAAAGAGGCAGTCATAACTGTGAGAACAGTCATTTTCTGGCACAAAGAACAAGTAACTTGAGCTCACCAGAGTTCGTCATTCCCCCTACCTTTAATGATCTGTACCACCCCCTACTTTTGAAAAATTTGTGTTGTATTTGTCAAACGAATAAAGAAACCCTTGAGTTCCTACATATAGTTTGAAGTTCCAAGTCCAAAGTATTGTTTCTGATTAAAGAGAAAAAAGAAAAGGCAGAGCGGGGAAAGAAAATAATGGCATTGAAGAACTTCACTGCTCGTTTATTTGCTCCTACAATGCTGGCTCTTCGGTATGATTGCAAAACTTCAGGTCTCTACAAACTTCAATCAAACTTTCAGTAGCACATAAGGTTTTCAGTCCAATTAGTTCCCACCACATTGATTATTTCAATTTAATATTCTGTTGATTTAAGTATAGACGCACTTATTCAGTAAAATTAACTTGAGAAAAGCTAATTTTCAGTCAGACAATGAGGCAGCATCACTTGCAGTGACTGAGGTAAGTGTGGGGGTGAGCACTAGATCAAGCTGTAGAGGGAGATTCCCAAGCTCAGGGACTCCTGAGCAAGAGCTCAGAGCTGCATCCAGACCTGGAAGCTTTGGAGAGCCAACAAAGCTGGCAGATGGAGAGCAGCCCCAGGGAGAAGGACTTGGGGGTGCTGCTGGTGGCCAGTAGGGTGAGGGAGGGGATTCTGCCCCTCTGCTCTGCTCTGGTGAGATCCCAGATGGGTCTAACCTAACCCTGCATCCAGCTCTGGGGTCCCAGCACAGGAAGGACATGGACCTGTTGGAGCAAGTCCAGAGGAGGCCATCAAGATGATCAGAGGGCTAGAGCAGCTCCTACAAGGAAAGGCTGAGCAAACTGGGGTTGTTCAACCTGGAAAAGAGAAAGCTTTAGGGTGACCTAACAGCAGCCTTCCAGTACTTGAAGGGAGCCTACAAGAAAAGAGAAGGATTTTTTACAAGAGCATGTACTGACAGGACAAGGTGTAATAGCTTCAAAGTGAAAGCAGGAGGTTTAGTTTAGATACTGCAAGGAAATTCTTTGCTGTAAAGGTGGTGAGGCACTGAAACAGGCTACCCAGAGAAGCTCCATCACTAGAGGTGTTCAAGGCCAATTCGGATGCTGCCCTGAGAACTGGGAGGAGAACTAGTGGGAGGTGTCCCTCTCCACAGCAGGGAAGCTGGAACAAAATTATGTTTAACGTCCTTTCCAACCCAAACGTCCTATGATTCTAAGAATTTTGATAAAAGCAGCAAGTTTTGTCTAGGCTCTCCAGAGCAATTATAGAACAAACCACTATTTATAGTGTTTCTTCAGTTAGCAATGAAAATGTGTTACATATCACAATAGGTAAGATTGCTTTTAACTAAGAATAACCCACTTCTTTTTTCTCTTCTACTGCATGTAAGATTTTCACATACTAGCTAAACTTGCAATACTAGTCTAATACAGAAAGCTTGTATTTTTAAATGGGTGGTGTAAGTAATGCAAAACTACTTCAAGGCAGAGCTTCTAAGTAAGTTTTGTGAAAGCTAGAAGACATGGGCACCTTCTGCCTGGCTTCTAACCTACTGCAGTCAAACTGCCCTGAGTTCCTCCACATTTTCTTTAAATATAACAGCAAACCTAACTCTGCAAATCAGAGAAGTTTAATCACTAAACATCTTTAGTAGCACTGACAAAAAGAGACCAGTTGAGATTAATAAACTCTCAGGAATGCTGACAGTCTTAAATCAACTGCATCTCCAAATGTTACTATCAAAACAAACTTCCACTTAGTATCTACTGACTTATTACATACATATATCAAATGACAGTACCTCCAAAGCAAGACGTAGAGAAAATATTTATTTTATAAAATACAAGATGTCATTACACTTTCTTGTAATCCAGTATTGTAATTTAAAACAGTAGTTGTAGAGTGAAAGGCTATCAACATGCACGCTTTTTAAAACATCATGTCCACATCCACTTTGTAGCTTAGAGCTTAGCAGCTCCACTTAAAGAGTTTCAAAGGAAATGCTTCAACTTTCCTCACAGTGTTACCCAAGGAGTTCAGGAATTTAATCCAGAATTATTTCAGTCCTGGGAGTTCATTACATGATAAAAGCTAAAAAGGCCAAGCTACCTAGATTAAATGGCCATATGGGAAAAGAGAAACAAAAGCTATTAAAGTAAGTGTAGAATGGTTCTTGATGAGAAAACTCACCTGTATCTCAAATATAAAGCTTTGAGATGACCTCCTCTAAATCATGTAAGTAGACAGGACAGAAGATACCATAGCAATTAATTTCTGCCATTCTTGGCATTACTATTAGGCTAGGATAATTACGAACTCTAAGTCGACTTTATTAATTTCAAGTGTTTAGTCTTGATTTTCTATGGTGACAGCAGAGTAACAAGACCAAAGCAGCCACATCAGCCCACAGAAAGAAATCCAACAGATTTTCCTCAAAAACTGGTTTATGAAATGTTTTATTTCCAAACTTTGTCACTGTGCACCTATGCATCTCTAGAAAGTCGCCTGACCCTCTCCTAATGCATCCTATGTGCTTCCACCAAGTATCTTGGGTTCCGCACAGCCTCTGTATTCCCTTAAACACATTATAAACTGTCTACAAAGAATGGCTTCAAAAGAAACATTAACATTACTGAAAGGATACAAAGTTTGGGTTTCTATCCACCTTGTTACCAAAGACTTTTAGGAATTTCAGAGCACCTTTATAAGATACATGATGAGTATCACAGTTGACATTCTAATCTGATCTGCCAATAAAAGAATGAACACAAAAGTTCACAAGTATCCTACCCCAAAATAACTAGTAATAATTTTTAGCAGCACACTAGCTAGTATTAAAACAACTCTTAACAACATAGCTACCATATGCTTAATTGTCATGCTGTATAAACAAAACCAATCTATAATGGAGGACACACACACGGGATGCTCCTTAAACATGAAGGCTTATTTATGTCAACTTTTTTTTTTTTTTTTAAATTCAAAGCTTTTCATCCACATACTTAATTCTTCTGTGATACTGTGGAAGAAAATAACACAGTATTATTTTGAAAAAACACCAAAGAAAATATTTTCAGAACATTCCAGAGGATGTAGGGGTAATAAACCAGAATTTCTTGAACTGGTTTCTCAGAGGCATGCATTTCATACAGAAAGCAGGAAGAGCCTAAACTGATCTGACAAAAAGCCGGCATAGTTTAGTAACCATAAAAAAAAAAAAAAAAAAAAAAAAAACAACAAAAAAAAACAACCAAACACAAAAAAAAAACCCCAAAAAAACCAAAAAAAAAACCCAAAAAAAACCAGAGAGAGAAATTGCAAATATGTGAAGTAGCAAAAGAACATCCAAGCACTTGATTAGCCTCAATAATCAAGCCTCCTTTGAACCTTATTAACTTTGGGACACACAGAACTTTCCACACAGGACACTGAAGTAACACCCAACACTTTCAGGCTAGAAGTGACCAACTTAAAAGGCCAAATATGACACCACAAGTTACTAGAACTCAGTGGCTTAGAAAAGTTTCCAAATTTCTTAATACCGAATACATTTACATGTATATACATGGATGTGAGGATATATATGTATATTTTTCTCCAGACTGTAAAACAGACTAAAGACTTCAAACTGTAAAACAATTCCAGCCCCTGTGAGTACCAATCAATTTCCTATTTCTCACAACTTCATACCTCAGATACACAGCCACATACCTGCAAGGCTGAATCCGCACACCCCAAGGGACATGTCCCCTCTATCTCCACCTTACTGGAAACGCCATCTTTCACCCCTCCACTCAAAGAGACCCTTTTCTCCTCCAGCCGTGGGATCCTGCCCCCTGCCCAGGCCCCTCCACACAACCGGCAGCTCCTCCCGAGGGCAGAACGGGTGGGGCAGGGGGGGTGTGAGGGTTTCCTTCCCCCCAGAGCCACCTTCCCCGCGGTGGGCAGCACAGGGACAGACTCTCCCCTTGCCCACGGAGACTCCCTGACAGTTTCGCCAGAGAAACCCTCAAAACCCCCACCCACCCCTCCTGCGACCACCCCACGCCCGCCCCGAAACTTCCAGCGCGGCCCCCCCCAGCTCCGAGAAGACCCGCACGGCCCTCACGGCCCCGCTCACCCCGCAGCCCACACCGCGAACACCCCGCGGGGATGGGGGAGCGGCGGGCCCGCCCCATGCCCGAGCCCCTCCGGCTGCCCTCCAGCCCCTCGGCGGGGCAAAGCCGCGACCCCCACGCCGCCCTCAGCCCCTCACTGACCTGACAGGGGGGGCGCGGCCGCCGCTCGGGGCTACAGCGGGGGCTGCCCCCGCCGCCGCCGACCCTCCGCTGCCCGGCCCGTCCTTCTCCGAGCGCCACCGCAGGGCAGAGAGCAGAGGAGGCGGAAAGGCGAGGCGGAGGGGGGAAACGCCGCGCCGTTCTTCCCCTTCCCGAGAAAATTTTAAAAAGGGAGGAAGGGAGGAAAAAAAAAAAAAAAAAAAAAAAAAAAAGGAAAAAAAAAAAAAAAAAAAGGGGGATTTAAAGGGCTCGGCCCGGAGTTTAAAACAAAGAGGCGGAAATAGCCGAGTGCAGCCCGAGCGGAGCCGAGCGGAGGAGCCGCACTCGCCGCGCATGCGCGCGGGGCGCTCACCCGGGCACGGCGCCGGCCGCCCCCTCCTTCCCTCCCCCGGGCAGCGGGGCCGGCGAAAGGGGGTCTGGAAATGTTTTATTGCCGAGCTTTCTGTCACTGTGCACCTATGCATCTCTAGAAAGTCGCCCGACAGAGCTGGGCCCGCCCGAGCCACGCTCCGCTCACAGAGCCGCCGAGTACGCTGAGGTGGGAGCCACCAGGATCATCGAGTCCGATTCTTATCCTTACGCAGGACACCCCACAAAATCGCGCTGTGTGCCCGAGAGCATTGTCCAACCCTTCATGGTGCTCTGACCGCTTCCTTGGGGGGCTTGTTCCAGTGCCCAGCCACTCCCTGGGCGAAGAACCTTTTCCTAATATCTAACCTAAAGCACCTCTGAGACAACTTCAGGCTGTTATGTGTGGTAGATATAATTCACGCCTTTTCTAGTATGATATATGTGATGTGGAATATTTGGTGGAGTATACACGTTTGTATTAGGAGTCCCCCACAACCAGGCGAAACCTGGTGTTTGTTGAAACCCGATTTACACATAAAAGGATGTGGCTCTCTGGAGATGGCTGTAGATACTGGGATGCCCAGGCCTGATCATCATGTGAACCTGAGAGGGATATCATGGAAATCCTCTGGACAGATACATGTGAATGCAGCGTTCCCATAAATTTCATCAAGGGATTCACCAACTCCGAACATTGAATTGTTCTACCTCCTTCAAATTGTTCTGCCTCCTCGCCAAGAAAAGAAATCTCATCAAACTGTGAAACTCTGAATAGAAGAAAGGACTGACTGCCAAAATCTTGGCCTCAGGTGGAATTTTCCCTATAAAAACCGCTTGTGCCAGGATGGAGATGTGTGGGCATAGAGGAAAACCTCTGCTGAGGCTGACCTCTTTGTTGCACACCCAGTGCCGACACTGGGCTCGGTGGTGTTCTTTCCTTGTGGCTGGCTAGATAGAATTTGAATTGCAAAATAAATATTTTAATTTTTTAATTTTAATTTGGCTGGACAAATTTTCATTTATAACAAGGCCATTCCCTCAGGTCCTGTCACTGGTCACCACAGAGAAGAGATCAGTGCTTGCTGGTCCATCATCTCCCCTGGTGAGGATGTTGGCAACCCCAATCCCCCCTCAAGTCTCCTCCAGACTGAACAGACCAACTGACCTCAGCCACTGCTTGAATCGCTTCCCCTCAAAGCTCTTCGCTGTCTTCAGTGCCCTCCTTTGGACATTAATGGCTTAATACCTTTCTTACATTAAGGTGCCTAGAACTCTACATAACACTCAAAGTGCGATCACACCAGCACAGAGTGGAGGTAGGAGTAGAGGCTGGGTGCCCAACCTTGAAAAATGCATGCAACTTGTGAGCAGGAAGATGAGATCAGCAAAGGTGGTTGGCTTTTAGGCAGAATGTGCCTATGCATTGCCACCTCTTCTCGCTGAAAGGTTTTCCTCAAAAAGCACACAGGTGTCTTTCCAGCTGATGAGAGTGGAAACTTGAGTAGGAATGGTTTCTAGCCTGAAACTTTAATAAGAGTGCTGGTCACACTATATCAAAGTGTAGGAGGCTCAAAACACACCTGACTGATGAAGTTACAAAGATCATGTCTTCCTGAAGGTGTGAAGTCTCGGGTCAAAGAGCATGCATAAAGCTTGGGAAGCCCATGTCAAGTTAAAGTTTGCACCAAACAGCCGAAGGTTTAACTTGCAAAGACAAGTACTTAAAAATTAACCTGTCCAAAGACTAAAGACACCAAACCGATCTTCCCAAATATGCATATATTTTTAATGTAATCCTTTAAAATACCTGCATATTTCTCTCTTTTCTTTCTTCTTTTCCAACAAAGGAAAAGAAGACACTCTTCCATGAGACAATCTTCTACCTTGTCTAAAAATGCCATTGGAAATGGGCTATCTGATATGGCACAAGCCCTCCATGTTCTACAAACTACTGAGCTTTTATTGTGTGCCAAGACAGGGGCTGTGCTTGGCTCTGGGAGCTATGTTTTCCAGATGCTAAGCCTGAGTTAATGGAAAATATGTCAGCATTTTAGATTTGCTTTGTTTCAGTTCAAGGGTTATGTAGTTACATGAGTGCATCTTGTCTATTTGAAATATAAATTCTGTTTCCAGTTTAATCACAAATTACTTTGTATAGGCCTTTGTTGTGTGTTGTAGAAAGTAATGGGTCTTCCTATCTGACCCCTGGAACTGGTGTTCAGGTAGCCAGAAGCAAAAATAACACACTATAAGAATGTGCATGAAATTATAAACTGTATGCCTGCTTTTCTTGTTTGGTTGACTTATTTTTTCCTAGTGTTTCCAGACCAATCACTACAAATTGGTAAAACCATTAAGGCCATGGTGTATAGGTGTTGATTTCCTCTTAGTATAGAATTTTTTTTAGAGGTTGACACCTTAACCAAGATGAAACAACCATGCCTACTACAACAATCTATGTAATATAGCCGCTTTGACAAGATTTGTTACCCTCAGAGCACAGGCAGTGGTTTGCTCTCTTCTCAACCTCATCACCTAATATCAGTTCTAATGCCTTCAGCAATACCATTAAAGTGTATGTTAGCCATAAGTGATGTTTCTGAAACATAAGATTTTTCAGTATCTTTTTCATTAGATACTGTAGTGACTACAGTATCTAATATCACAATTAGAGTGTCTTTTCTGAACTACAACACTGGATATTAGAAGAGAAGTGAAACCTTTTGTTTGCGTTCATTGCAGTCAGTGAGCTGTGGTCAAACTACACAGTTTCTGAGAGTAACTTGAGGAGAACTAGAAACTGCATTTAAAGGAGTCTTGAAGTTAACTTTACATGCATTATTCTTCACAATTTTCACCCAAATAAGAGCATGATGTGAACATGGGTAAATTGAATCTCTATCTTCCAGAAACATGTATTTCCTTGCTAAAACAATTCATGGAACAGAATCTGAGAACTTCTTGACAGAAAAAAACCCCACACATCTCAAGTTTATCTCCTTTAAGTCTTCTAAGAGTATAAAGGAACTGGTCAGCATGAGCATGTTAATATTATAAATAGTATAAATGGTGTAATAGTATAAATATTATAATGGTATAAACAAAGAAATTACTAGAAACCAAACAAAGCAACACATTTTCAGAAACAAAGCAGAAAAGTAACAAATAAAATGAACAAAGCACATAGCAGGAAAATAAATGATAAAATTACTGAAATGTGAGACTTACTATGGTAAAGTGTTTAGAAACAGATACAATGAGAACTAATACTTCCAGTAGTTTCTCAGAACACAAGGAGTTACATTGATTCTGTAGATCTGAGAGTCTGTTGATGGCATTGCAAGGCTACTCCCCAGCTATTACCTTTTTGAGATCATGGTGACCACGCAAGTCCCTCAGTACTGGAGAATAGTAAACATTTCACCTGTCTTTGAAAACAGTAAGAAAGATAATTTAGAGAACTACAGCTTTCCTTTGGTTCCTGAGAATCATGGAGAAATCAAAGATCTCAGAGCTGGGCTCAAACATCTTGCAGCCTAAAACCAAAGACCTCAAGCATTGACCAGCTTATTTCTTACACACAGATGTACCAGGCACAAATTATTTAAGCACCATATTCCAATGTGTCAGTCTATAAAATATGGGCATTATCAGAACACGCACACAGAGCATGTGTGAGGTTGGAAGGGGCATTTGGAGACCACTCAGGACAGTCTCCATGCACAAAGAAGGATAAGGTGGAGCAGCAGTGTCACTTTAGTTATCACTAGACCAAGCACTGCCATTCTTACATTGTAGATTCTGCATGGTCATCCTAAGGATTGAATGATAACTTCACTCTTACCCAGGAACCACTGGAAAACAGTCTTTTGAATGTGAATTTCACCACAGTTACATTCTGGCTTCAGAGATGTGGTCTATTAATCCTCTGATCTAAAAATAAAGACCGAGAGGTCCTTTACAGGAGGAGCTATGAGCTACCACCCCACATGGACACAGCTGAATATGAGACTGGCCAATCAACCAGCAAACTTCTTGGCAAGAGACTTATTTGGATGTTCACTGCTCCCCAAATTCTGGCATTCTGAAATATGGTTCAGCATTTTGTTATAGATGTTACCTAAGCATAAGCATAATAACCATAAGTTTTTAACACCATAACTGTTATGCAGCCTTCTGCATCTATAGAATAGTAGGAAATTCCTGTTTCTTTCAATAACCTTTAATATTTTGGGTTGATGAGTTGATATCTTTCTCCCTGTTGTCTTTGCTAAAGAATTGATAAAGCATTCTCTTAGTCTCTAGCTAAACAGTTTCATTCTTAAACTGATCTGCATAATTTCTTTTCATGATTTAAGGATACTATACAATTCAGAGAGGTTTAAACCCAGGCGATAAATATTTAACTATACCCTCCATCAAAACAGCTCAATTCCAACCCACTTGAGCTCTTCAATTGTTACTGTTACTTGGCTTTCAAGGTCCTCCATTTCCCATGGAAAAAAAATTCCTTCATTTTCTCTCTGGTCTCAATGTCAAATAAATCAAGTTCATTCCCTAGCCAAATCCACTGAACTGTACAAGACAAACTGATTCAACAATCATTTGTAAAAGAGGAAAAAGCAAATACCAGTTGTTTAAGTATTTCTAGTTTAACAAATATTTCCACTGGTAAGTGAAAGATTAATGCTCTTGCATTAGAAACTTCTGGTTATGAAGTCTTCCTCAACAGAAAACCTCTAAATGTTTCAAAGATGAGCATCAGATAGAAAAGTGGAAATAGCGAGGGATTTAGTGACTCAAAAAATAAGAATCTTTTGCTACTAACTACTTACATAAATACAGCTTAGATCTCTTCAACGACCTGGGTTTTAA